AGGTCAGCAGTCATAAAGAGGCTAGTTACGTTCGACCATCGCTGTTTTCGCACTTTGGCTCTTGTCTGGTAAGAACGCCGCGTGAGTATTGGGCGTGTTCGGCGCCGCGTATTTGGTGCAGGAAGAGCGAGTGAACCGCTCAGCACCATTATCACGCACCAGGCTCCGATGGCTGTGCCACGTGTTGCGCATGCTAGCCCACGAGCTCCCGCGACGTGTGGATGGAAAAAGAGGAGGCGAGGGCAACCGATGACTTGATCAAGAGGAATGAAGTCCCTCACTTCGAACCTGGCGTCGGTTGGTGTTTACCGACTACCTGGCTGGTGTCCGAAGGACGATGAACACGTTTGATTAGGTACACTATCTGATATGGCGAGGAGCCGATTTCAATGGCATTTGTGTCGTGAGTCTTTTTGTCCTCCCTCCCTTTAGTTTCCACCTCCAACAACGATCTCAACCCAATGCATAATGCGCTTTTAATATTGTTGCTTTTTTAACTTTTGTAGTCTGTAATGTTTAATCTTATCTTGTTTGTATTGCTGCACATTAGCTGAGGTGTGTTCCTCGCCCCCGGGTAACGTGTATTAATGATGCTGATGTTGACTGTGCACTTCCATTTTTACTTTACGTCGTATTACCTTCTTTCATGTAACTCATTTCCTAAAGTGTAATCGTTGCAGCCCTTGGTTGAATCATTTGGGGTTTAACTGATTGGCCTGTGGTTAGTGGAATCGCTTTGGATTACCTTCTCCAACGCAGTCAACAATTAACTAATGCGGCTCTCTTCCAGTTATCAGGCCAATAATTTTCCAGAAAACTACATCACTGTCATAGTTCTTTTTCTTTTAACTCCAAGTCTATATCACGATAGCAGTTTCTTCTGTATGTGACATCATTAACCGGATTTGCACGTTGCCTACAGGTTGACTGTTTTACTCGTCTTTTTATACATTGTGTTCAATGAAGAATGGTTAACCGGACAACCGTTTCAAATTAGCTACATAATGTGTCAAACAGCGTTAGCTTGTATGTGCGGGTGCCAGTCTCCTCGATATTTGTTTCTTTGCTCAATCGTCTACTGCATATACTGGCGTAACTATGATAGGGAAGTTCACGTTGTCTAGTTTTAACGCATTTCCAGTGTATTTTGTGCTCTAAGACACCTGTCTTTTCCATGTTCATTTGAACCACTAATGTTCTGAATATCGTACCAGCTATCTTGTGTTGATTGCTATGTTGTGCATCGTGTATAGGGGCTGTAGGCTTACTTTTACTTGGACTGGATCTCCCCTAACTGGAACCATTGATGTGTTGTCATCAAACCGTTTTCATGGACCAGCTGCGGTAGTAGTAGTAGTAGTAGTATTAGTAGTATATTTCGTTTAAATGAAACTGACCAATCGGTTGTAGGCAAATCCATCAAACGCTGTTGACGCAAACCGCCCATGCGTGGACGAGACAGAGACAGGAATCAGGATTGGCTCAAACTTAAAGCAAAAATGTACAGCTTTGTCACAGGCCGCGGTTAACCGGATTGCTGTAACAGCCTCCAGCTTATGAAGCGCGTCCGCTGGTCCGAGACAAAGGAGAGCTGGCACGTACAAGCATAACTCGAGGCGGGCAATGCAGACGGAGCGGAAGTCGATGGAAGCGGAAAGTCAACAAAATGGAAAGTAACCAGTGTACAAAAGTCGCAACCAACTAATTCCCGATGATACACTATAAAAGATGCAGTGCTTTATAGAAAGCGGATTTTCCTCGTTATCCAGACCGTTTTACTGTTGGAGGGCTGCACAACACCAACCCGAGTACCTCTTATGCTATCCATGCCACTGTCAGTTGACACTGTTTTTCGTTTACTTTTATTCCAATTTATCAACAAAAATCAGAAGCGGTATTTATCGCTATCAGTGTTCAAAGGGGGAGCTTTGAAAAACGACAGCCAGTTAAGGGTCTCAGGTCACTTGAAGATCTCAGCGATATAGCTCGTTGACTTATCATTCATACAGGCACTGAGGAGAACAGAATCTTCTCTTTCATTCATCCCCCGTGACAGAGATCGGCGACCATCGCACGTTTACCAGTTTTGTTGTGCAGGTTGAACACACCACGTGCTTCAAATTTTGAGGAACACAAATGCCTCATCTAGCACTTTTAAACCTTACACGGTTATGATTTTCACTGCTTTGAGAGCCTCGCTAAATGAACAATCTAACTTATGGTTGTTTCTTCGGTGGGGCCCACTGAGGATTGTTTGTTACTATCTTTTACACATATCCCAAAGAAGATATTTGACGAACCAAGGAACTGTGGTGCTACAGCATCCATTTGTTTCGCTTTACTATGCTTAGCAGATACTATGTGACTGATGCCGGAGTTAACCATGTGGTATGGTGGCTTGGATGCCCACCATATGTAGGGACCTGGAGCGCTAGGTCACTGGTAGCTGAAAAGCCAAATCATATTTTTGAAGACATCCAATTACTGTGGACTGGTGTGCCCGAGGGATATTTAAATATTATCCGAGCGTTAAACGCGCGTAGTTCGGGCAGAGTAAGGGCTTACGGCACGCTGTCGCTGCCGTTCAATATCTCCAGCGGCGTACGACAAGGATGCCCGATGTCACCTTTCCTCTTCAACCTCGCAATTGGCGAAGTCATAAAGATCGCTTTCATAGGAAACAACTTAGGTGTGGAGCTGCTTCCAGGCGAACAACTTGACTTGGATTATGCTGGCGATATTTCCTTCATCTGTGACAGCTCCCAGACCTGCCAAGCGGCGCTGGACAGATTAGTACCGGCTGTCCGTCACCTCGGGTTTTGCTTTGCACCTTCCAGGTGCAAAGCCTTCCTCCAAAACTGGCAGAGACTGCCTCCTGCGCTGACCCTTGGTGGCGATCAACTAGAAGTCGTTCAGAAATTCATTTACCTCGGCAGTTGTATCAGCGCGCTTGGGATCGAAGACGAAATCACGAACCGTCTAGCAAAGGCACGAGGCGCTTTTGCTAACCTTCGCCACCTGTGGCGCCGGCGCGACACCATTCTCTCCGTTAAAGGTAGAGTGTTCAATGCAGCGGTACGTTCGACCCTACTGTGCGTTTGTGGAACCTGGCCCATTAGATAAGCGGACATAAAGAGGTTTGTTACATTCGACCACCGATTCTTTCACAGCTTAAGTCATTTCTGGTTTGATCACCGCCTGAATAATGAACGTGTTCGACGCCTGGTTTATGACGTAGGAAGAAATGAACAGCTCAGCACCCGTTACTTCACCCACCAGGCTTCGATGGCTATGACACGTGCGTTGTTTACGTACCGTGGGTGTGGATGGAAGCAGAGGTGCAGTGGCGACGCGATGACTTGGACGAGAGTGATGAAGGCCCTTATTTCGACGTCGGCCACGGTTGGAGCCTCTCAAATGCCTACTTGGAGTCCGAAAGATGATGAACACGTTTGGCTGCGTACATTTGCTGACATGGCGAGTAGCCGACCTCAATAGCGTTCGTGTTGTGAGTTTCTTTGTCCGACGCCACCCCTCTTAGCGACGCTTCCAACCGCGACCCCATTTCCTATCATCATACTAATTTTGCAAAATAATTTCTTTTGCTGCATAGTAGTCGAGTAGTAGCTTTCCGGAACCATGCCCATCCGTTGCTGGTAACTCAGCTGGCGTGAATCTGTTGTATGTGTTGTTCTTTTTTTATTTATTGCAGCACAGTAGCTGAGGTCTTTTCCATCTCTAGCTAAAGGGTATAATGAATGATGACGGACTGATGTCACATACAACTTTGCACCGAAAGCTGGTCTCTCATCCGCACCGCTGCAGCACAGCTCTTGCTTGTTGCTTTATCTCGTTAGACTAGGTTTAAATACGTTAAGTTCATCTACAAAATGTTTATGCTGCCACACTGCTATGTTCCCATTCACTAATTTCTCATAGATACATGTTTATTCCGGTTTTTTTTGTCTTTTATGGACAGCCAAGGATCACGGTCTCTTTTTGCCCCACGAGGACAACAAAAAGGGTCTGTGGTTGGACAACTCTCGCACTTTAGAACACTACATCCTACGTAACGGAGTGGGTGTTGATTTTTAATTTCAGTTCCGTCTGCAAATTTTCACCTATTTCCACCGTGGTTTGCGCCTGTTGGCATATTTCATACAGATGTTTCATCCTGCTGTCGGGTATTTAGTACTGTTGTCTGTCTTCTTTGACTCTGCACCAAGCTCCCGGTTATCTGCTGTTGAGAGCCAAGCTGAACTCTTACCCTCCAATCGTCATCCGCTGTTCGGCTTCCATCTGGTTCACTTGCGGCTTTTCTCGTCCTCTCGCAACAGACGCTAGTTGGGTTTTATTTTGGACATTCCATATTAGTACAATCACTCAACTGTTTATCGTGAACCCTCGTCTCCTCCCTTTAGCTTCATGCATGGGACACTGACTGGTCACCGTTTCATTGCCTTTCGCATACAATGTGACCTGAGAATTAATTCAGAACTATACATCGCTCTCATCCTCGCTTTTTGATGTGCCCCCCTCTCAATGGACACGATCCAATACTTTGGCTTACGAACTTTTTGATTACGTCACTGTATTCCTCACTTCATTTACTTTAGTGGAACTGGAGTCACCAAGTTGCAGCTGGTTGACTTGGTTGGCATTTAGGCATAGCTGAACCTATTGCATCTGCTTCGCGGATGGAACAGCTGACTAATGAACTGCATAGAGGGTAAAAATAGGGCCTAGTTGTGTCAAATAATGAAGAAGTGATCAAAAGTTATCATCAAGGTCACTGCCGGTGTATAGTTTTATTCATCCTGTATTACCGCTCGGTTCTGCTGGCAGATCTTTCTAAGGGTCGTGTTCATTTATGATTGATCGGGTTTTGTTTTCCCTCTTTTTGCTTTTATATTCCCGTTCAATTTTCTTCCTTTGTATGTACTTGGTTTCAGGACACCGTGGAATATCGATACCGGTATCGCTGGCTGTATATACGCACAATGGATGGCACAAGAAAGAAACTCATGGTGGACGACAGTCAGTCCGTAGCGGAGCTGATGCGCCTGATCTGTGCTAAAATGGGTAAGTTCTTACGTTTCCAAGAGCGGAGCTAACATTCAATGCGCGGCCTACTAGTTAGCGGGTTTGTTTCTCCTAAATTTGCATCATCACTGTCTTTTGGTCTGAAACATTATTTAACCGGCGTCATTTCTTTCGGCTATCTTTCATAGCATCAGCGAATAGCTACGCCCAAACTGCACTCTACACTGCTCTATCTGGCTGCTTTCCCGCTTTACATACTTTTCTGTGCCTCAACTTGTGACTTACCATTTTCTATGCCTAGAATTATGTTGAGGATTCTATTCGCCTCCTAGTTATCTATATTAAATCTCTACACCTTCTCGGCCCGTAACCTTAAGGATCAACAGCCCGCCTTGTAATCTGAGGGCACGGGTTCGATCCTGCGTAGTATCCTTAGTCCATGCGCGACTGGTGATGGTAGCGCGACATCGAAGCTTTCTTACTGTGTATCTGCGTACTGTTGCTGCTTTTTTCTCTCCATTTGGCTAACACGTGCTCATTGATAATGTCATGCGCGTCCGGCTTGTCCTCTCGCTATTGCTTGCACGCATCCGGAAACGCCGATGCAACACTCACGAGTCACGCTGATGTAGGTGTCATTCTAAGCTCTAAGGCTGAGCCATGATGGTTCAATGGACTCCAGTGAACAGCCGTTTGTGTGCAGCTCGTTTAACGACATCGACCAAGGTCGATTCACGAAGTAGTCAAAATGCTGTGTGATTTCCACTTATGCTCCCATCGACTGCAGTTCAAATGCTGTCAAGGGCACATTCTATCACGAATTGAACGCGCTACTATGCAGTGCTATTGGTTCAGGTATTATAGTACTGGGGTAGGTATCATTCTAAGCTCCAGGATTAAGCCGTGCGTGGTTGATTGGATTCCAGAGAACAGCATTAGCGTGTAGTCCGTTTGACAACATTAACTAAGTTTGTGATTCACTAAGCAGTACAAAACGCTGTCTGTCTGCGATATATATATATATATATATTTGCAAAAGTCTGTTAACAGACATAATGCCATCAGAAGCCATGGGATTCAAACGAAGGTACAGAAACAGTAAAATAAAACACAACACAACAATGTCCATGGTTTCCTCAGAGGGCGAGATACTACCCGGTTGCCCAAGCCGAAGTAGGGTGTTGACTTAGGGGACACCACCCTGAGCCTTTGGCTTAATAGCCTGTCCGCAAGGCAGCGGAGCGAATTCAGGGAATCGCGCCCATTGGGAGCCGGTGACTGATTGCTCAGTTCATACGCCTTTCGTTTGTTCCTTTGTCAAACAGGGGCCCAATGCTCCCCAGAAGTACAGCATAAGATTGCTGGAATACAATGCTTCGCCAGGATGAAGCAAGGGGCAGTGACTTTATTTAGTGGCGAGTCACGTCCGCCACGTCACAGTGTTGTTAAACGGACATATGTGGCTTTTTATAGGGAGAACGCTTGCCAGGCGAAAACCCACCACGTCCTGGAACACTGCCGCCGAACCATTTGCTGGAACGGGAAAATCCCGAACCACCCAGCTGGCACCACGAGAAGGTTGTTCGGCAAGCCAGCCCGCTTATGTTCGCACCGACTGCAGTTCAAATGCTGTCAAGGGCACATTCTATCACGAATTGAACGCGCTACTATGCAGTGCTATTGGTTCAGGTATTATAGTACTTGCAGGGGATATGAACACACTAGTAGCGCGTCTAAGCTCTTCAGAAGTTCAGCTGCATGGCAATTAGGGGCTTAACTCCGAACGAACTGACAACATCGAGCGTTTGCTGCAACTGTGTGCGGAGCACTAGTTGTTTCTTAATAACACCTCTTTTAGCCACAGTGGGCGCCGAAGTTCCACTTGGCGTCCTTCTGTAGCTGGCCAGCAATGGACCCAAATAGATCACATTGCTATAATTTAGACTTGGCGTGGTTCCATCCTTGATTGCCGCTCGTACTGCAATACCTGCGTCGACTCTGATCATGCCTTGGTACGCTATCGTTTCTCCATGCATTTTACCGGGAGGGGCACCAAGCGTCTTCCCCGATTGGCAACTAAGAGATTGTCTCCGCCCTCGGTCGGGCTAGCCTATCAAGACGCACTGCATACCAAACCTTTGCTGTTTTGTTCTAATGACACTGCGCTTCAGTGGAATAGGATCTCGGCGGCCCTGTACGACGCAGGAGCATCTGCATGTGGCACTATCTCTCATCACCGCACCAGTCACTGGATATCCGAGAGGTCGGTGAACCTGTTGGAATCCAGAAGACAACATTCCGCTGACTCTAGTCACAATGTTATCAGACGGACTTATTGGCGCAAACTAAAGCCGAGCCTGCGTGCTGACAAGGATGCCTGGTGGACCAGTAGGGCTCAAGAAATGGAGAAGGCAGGAGCAACGGGTAATGACCGCAAACTCTTCCAACTGATCCGCACCACTCGTCCCAGGAAACCAGACATCAGTGAGACATTCAGAGACCGCGCGGGTGCACTGATACACAATGAGGAACGCCGTATGGCTCGTTGGGCGGAACACTTTCAAGATCAGTTCAGCTGACCCCTTGCTCCCCGACCTCTTCCTACTCAAGTGATGCAGGCTGAGCCATGGACGATTAGTCTAGAGCCCCCGTCGGAGGCCTAGGTACGAAATGCGTTCACAGCCCTCAATCGTTTTCGTGCAGCTGGCCCGGATTTTCTCCCACCTGCACTATTTAAGGATGGAAGTGAGGTCCTTTGCAAAGCACTTACCTCCCTATTCGAAAATATATATAGAAAGAAGTGTCCCGGCTAACTGGAGTAAATAGATGATAATGGCACTATACAAGGAGGGCAGTCGCACAGACTGTTCTATAACCAAAGGGGTATTAGTCTAACGTCAGTTGTGGCAAAATTACTGGCCTCGATTCTCGTTCGTCGCCTCACTGTGGAACGGGAATCTCGGATTAAGGAAGTGCATGCAGGTTTCCCCCAAGTCGTGGCTGTATAGACCATATATTCACTTTGCGGCAGGCGCTAGAGCAACGCCACGTATACCGCAGACCGACAATAGCTGTGTTCCTCGATTTCAAGAGTGCGTTCGATTCAGTCGATCGATCGATTCTGTTCGAAATACTTGCGTGGAAAGGTGTTCCTACGAAATATGTGAACATCCTACGTGCTCTGTACTCGAACACTACAGGCCGCGTCAGGGTCTACGGTTACCTGCGGATAGATTTTTGACCACAAGTGGCGTTCGTCAGGGTTGTGCGGTTTCCCCGCTTCTGTTCAATTTCGTCGTGGACTCTATCATGGGGTGTTCGCTTGCGGAATCTCATAATGTAGGTGTTGAAATGCTGCCTGGTGAAAGGTTAGTTGACCTAGATTATGCGGACGATATTTTCTTGCTTTTTGGCGGTGTTGAGGCGACACAATCAACCCTGAATAGCCTCTCTGTATTGATTGCATTATTTGGTATGCGCTTTGCACCTTCAAAGTGCAAAGTGTTGCTGCAGGACAACCAGCCGCTTGATGATGCCTTAACCCTTGACAACGAGGAACTCGATTTGGTTAATCGATTCACTTACCTTGGCAGCTGCATCAGCAACAATGGGAACATGGAAGCTGAAGTCAGTTCACGCCTTGCAATACCCAGTACTACTTTCTTGAACTTGCGGCGTATTTGGCGACCCAAGGGAGTTCTTCTCCGTCCGAAAGGCCGTGTATACAAGGCCACAGTGAGGGCCGTCCTGCTCTATGGTAGTGAGAATTGGCCCCTTCGGTCTGAAGATCTGAGGCGCCTTCAAGTCTTTGATCATCGTTGTCTGCGAAGCATTGCTGGTATCGGGTGACACCAGCGTGTCCGCAACGATGATGTGCGTAGGCGAGTACTATGTAGTGAAAATCATGTTAGCTCCCTAGAACAACAGATAGCACTGAATAAGTTGCGTTGGCTCGGGCACGTGCTACGTGTGCCTGGCCACCGCTTATCTAGGAGGGCCTTGTTTAGTCTGCCAGGTGTAGGGTGGCGCAAGGCTCGTGGTGGACAGAAGTTGACTTGGCAGCGGGAAATGAAGTTACTGACGACCAAACTGGGTGCCGTTACTCCGTCTCGCCTTCCGGGCTGGAGTCCACGTGACTCGGCTTGTGCTTGGCTGGAGACTTTACAGGACATGGCTTGCAATCGACATCAGTGGCGCGTCTGCTGCCGTCTCTTAATCGGATTGTCTGTTTAAAATGTGTTTGGTGCTGAGTTATCTGCAGGGTAATGGCTGATTATGACGCGGGACAGTGAAAGCCGCAAGGAAGCTGTCTCGCCGATGCCGCGTTATCTTTGCACGATAGCCAGCTGTTTGTGACGGTATGTTGTCTGCACAATGTGTAGGCGTCTTGGCACTGAATGTTTGCTTAGGGCATTAAGGTTTTCAGGTAAGTCCCCTTCTCTCCCTTATATTATTCTTTATTTCATAGGTCATCATGTTTGTATGGTGACGATGCTTCAGTTCAAATGGCTCAAATACTGCTGTCGTTGATTAATTGCTAATGTCACGCTGATTTTACGCAGTTGTGGGTAAATGTTCGCCTATCTCTGGCAATACTCGCAAGGTTTTCCAACCCTGGCTCAATAAGATAATTCGCGAATCTCATGGTCTCCGATCACCAACCGCTACATCGAACTCTTCAAATTGCGGTACATCTGACCCACACCTTTCATCTGTGCGCACAGTATCGTGCCTCATCCAACTGGATCCAACCAGCGAAGCGAAAGTCTGCGTCGAGATTCGACACTTGAAACGACTCAAGGCTGCCGACTCGGACGGACTTCTCCTGGAAGCGTTAACTATGGCCGCGTCGTAACGATTGAACAACTTATCTTGTTCTCAAATCTATCATGAAGCAAAGTGCCTACCTTTTATGGCAAAGCAGTTATTATCCCGATTTTTAAGAATAGCACTTGCGTTTCATGCGTCATTCTTCGACAGATTAGTCTACTTTTGGTTGCCGCCAAGCTTCTAGTACCCATTCTGCCCCGCAGACTATT